GCCATGAGCTATGAGGATAGAGTAGCCCTTGCTAGAGCCAGAGGACGCCAGCGTGGACGTGACAGAGGCCGGGACTAGATTTTCATTTTTTTCCTTCATTTTTTACTATATTTCAGTATTTTGTATTTTCATTTTCAGTTGTATCTCCCTCTCGCATGCTTCAAGAATCAGTGAGGACACTGATCGAGATAGTGTGGGAGCGGAGCCTTATTTCCACTGTATTCTGAACTTCCCTTATTTCCTATATTTCCATTTCACTGCACTTTGAATTTTAGTAAGTTCTATTTTTACACTTTCTATTTCTAGCAAATAAAGCTCGTCTATATATTTTTCACGTTACGCAAACAATCCCCACATTATTCAACGTAAACAAAAACTTTCATTTGTTCCTCAAAAGCAAAAGCATCACGAGAATGCACCTGAGTTCAAAACAAGTTTTGAAACTCCGAGGAAACGACAGTTCTAACAAAACCAGTATCGTCCAGACACCTTAGATCTCTAGTTTATGCGAGTCGGTTTCACCACCTACGTGTACCAAAGTCTCAAGTGTCTACGCAAACTCAACCCCAAGTAGTTTATACTAGCAGTCAGCACCATCCTAAAAACACTTCTAAGCGAGCGACCGATGCAAATAAGTGTATGATCTCCAAAAAGATGAAAAATCATGAAAAAAGAGCTAAAAAGCCCAAGAATATAAGATACGTTTCCTTCTAAGTTAGGTGCTCCTCACCCGAGCATTTAGCCCAACGGCACGAAAAACTCATTGAAAAATCAATGACACCAAATTATGATCAATGAAGAAGATCAAAAACAAAAACGAGATCATATTCACTAACAGGTCGACTTGCCATGAAAGTATGCGGACAACGGGCTTAATGTGATTGCGCTAGAACAAACAGGGTGAACTTGCCACGGGAACCTTGACACCAAGATGCGGTAGCATGACTGAGACCGATTTGCATAAAAAGGAGACCTCCGGAGACTCGTAGTCCAGTGTCGTCATGATACTCGTCTTGTTCCTACCAAGAATCCCGGTTTTTCCAAACTCTGCGAACGAAGAAGCAACCTCGTGCTTGCCGACTTTTCCACGTTTTACTTGAGGACAAGCAAAGATTCAAGCTTAGGGGAGTTTGATAACACGAAATCATATAGATATTTTCATGCATAATTCGACTAAAAGCTAACCATTTTCGATCCGATTTCGGGTTATTTCCGTGTATTTGTCTGATGTTTTTGCAGGTATTCAACGATCACGTCTAAACAAGGCAACATGAAGAAAAGAAGCAATCCCAGATGAAATATGGACGAAAAAGGAGTGAAAACACAATGAAAAGCGCAGCAATCAGTTTTTGCTGATGTGACGACCGTCACAGATGCATGACGACCGTCACACGGGTGACGACCGTCACACCTTGTGACGACCGTCATGCAGGCAAAAACGCCCCACTCAGATTACACGTCAAAAGAGCAGTTCCAATTCCCATTAAGTGGTCCACTACTCCCTAAATTATCTGCCTCAAGGTCCATCATCCTCAGAGGTAACCGTTGGGATTCCACTTCTATAAAAAGGGAAGCAGGGGACTTCAAAAAAGGTGTTGCATTCATACCACGAAGTGCTGCCAAATTTAATTTCCAGAGCAAATTTACTTTCCAGTTTTTATTTGTATCCATTTCTCCAGTTTTTATTTGTATTCCTTTCCTTTATTTCCCTGCCATTTCCTCATTCCCATTTCCGCTCTTCTGTAATACCTATTGCACTGTACGATCCATTTGGAACTAAAGATCAGAATCCTGCCAACATCTGTGGAGGATCTACCCAAAGGCCAATTGGCATTATTTACAGGTTTTCATTTTGATCGACTTCTGTTTTAATTATAATGCAATTTATTATTTATTATTATTATTTATGTTTTGTTTTTCCCAATTCCATGTCTAGCTAAACTTAGGCAATCGATATGTAGTAATAATTCGAATGGGATTTGATAACTCTTGTTTGAAAACTTTCTTTTCACAAAAATAACTTATGGTCTAAGTGTTTAAAATTGATTCATTGAATAAACTTCGTCGCGAAAGCGAGAACTTATTTAAAAGTAGTTTTGCCACGAAAGTGGGAAATTAATTAAGATACGAACCAACAAGCGAGAGCTGCGGTAAGGTCAGATAGTAAACACTAGGCATTTGTTTTAATAACAGCGAAAGCACTTTAAAACGAATTAGAACTTAGAGATTTCCAAAAAATAGTTTTAACCCCGAACGGGATACGAAAGTGTACGTTTGGCCCTTAGGATTATGATTAGCGTCAATAACCATTGTGAAACGAGAGTCTTCAAATCTCCATTTTCTGCTTAAATAAACTGTGAAAACTATTTCATACACCAGTAACTTATCAAATCCCTGAAGAACATAATTACTACGTATCGATTCAATTAATTAAAATCTAAACAGTAATCTTAGTTCCCCCTTTTAGTGACAATCTTATTCCCATAAAATATATCCTACCTAGCTGAACATAGTAACTCCCGAGAACACTAGTTTGATTACGAGTCCCTGTGGGATCGATATCTTTTATTACTACGCGATAGACTGTGCACTTGCAGTTAGTTGTATTAGACATAGAAAGTCGCGATCAATATGCTTCAGCGTGAATATCAATCAGAGCAGAGTTTGAATATCAGAGCCTCTGTACTTGCAGCGAAAAGTACTTTCAGAGTCTTCTTGAAACAATACTTGAAAATCTTCATACAAATTCTTCAACTACGCTTCAGAGTCTTCTGCAGCTTCTGCTTTAGAGTCTTCTGCAGCTTCTGCTTCATAGTCTCTTTTGGCAGCGCTCAGAGTCTTCTGATGACTTGCTTCTGATGCTTCAGAGTTTTGCATAGAGTAATGTTCAGATGCATTTTTGCTTCCATAAGAATATTTAATTTAATATCTGAAACAAAAACAATTGAACAAAATTAGAGTATATATTTTCTTAATACAAAATTTCATTAGTGTTATCATCAAAATATAGAGATATATTAAACACCAATTTGTGTTATAACATCTGGGTCTTCAGAGGTTGACTTTCTTCAAAGTCTGGTCTTCAAAAATTGACATCCTTTAGAGTCTGAGTCTTCAGACTCTAGTTTTGATCCTTTAGATTATGGATCTTTTAGCTTCTCTTTAAATGTTCAATTTTAATATCAGAACTGACTTTATATCAAAAATTTTAGTCTATAGTTCTACACACTTGGACATCTGTTAGTATACTTAATTGTTCTTTGAATATTTTATTAGCATCAAAACCTTAGAGATATGGTACAAACCAACTTTGTTCCAACACTGTCATGCACATAACACAATTTAAATTCTTAATCTCGACATCACTAGGATCCCGACCATGAACAACATGATATGTTTTGATGAAATTTTAAGCTTCATCCCTATTCAAGGTAGTAATTCCATCTCCGCCAAAGTCAAAGTAGAGAAAGCTAAATCCTCTATAGTTACAGATGGAGCAAGCCTGATACTGACTGCACGGTTACCTCCAACATTGTCATAAGAAATGAGAGCTTTGAAGGAAGATTCATCAAGAGAAGTTTCTCTGCCAAGAGAACCACTATCAAACCTCTTCGACTCAGAAGTATCAGACACAATTATGCTGACTAGAACATAATAACTATTTACTTAATGGTGAAAATCTGAGCTAAAAGATGTTTCTGTTTTAACTAAAGGAGAAGACACGTTATTTATAGAATCACTAAATAAACTTATAGGGTGATCATTTATATAAACCATGACAAAATAAAAACTGGGGGCGAATAAATAAACTCAAGGTAAGAAGTGTACTTGGAAAGAATGAAGTTTGGTGAAGAAGGTAGAAATTAAATGCAGAATGGGAAAGCTCCGTTTTGAAGAAGACGAATGCTAAAGCAAATGCTCCAAAGAAGGAAGAAAATCACTCGCGCAGAAAGAAACTGACTTTTAAAGATGGCGACAAATTCTCCCAAAAAGTTAAGAGACCTTTATAAAGAGGTGAGGTAGAAATTAAATGCAGAATGAAACATCAATAATCAACATCAATTTTGGTTTCCACGTGGAACAATTTTTCTATAGTGTTACATATTTTTATTTTAAAAAATTATTATTATTTTTTAAAAAAAACTTACAATTTTCAAAAAAACTGCAAATAAAAAATTGGTTAAAATTTTTTTTTCATAAATATTATTTTAGGTATTTTATCATTTTACTATAATTTTTTTTGAATATATTTTTTTGACAGAGAAGATCTTAAAACTTCAAAAAATCACTTAAATTTGATAAAAATTATTTTTAAATACATCTTTTTGAAAATATTGTGATTTTAACTATGTTTTAATCTTAAATAATGTATATTTAGGTTAAGTGAATTTTTTAAAAAAATTAATTTTAGAAAACTTTTAATATTTTTAGAAATATTTTTATAAAAACTATTTCTAAAAATATGAAGAAAAAAATATTTTTTAAAGATAAAACACACGAGAATATCACAAGATTTATAGGATATGTGAAGTATCTCAATAATATGTGTTGGTTGAGTTAAATGGGTGAAACATATCGATATAAAATTCAATCAATTACTTTAAAAAAATATCACAAAATATTTTATTATATAAATTTTTTTAAAATATTTTGAAATCTCAATCAAATATATCCTATTTAATTTTTAAAATTTTAAATAATTAATTATAATTTTTACTCATATAGACTAAAAATAAAAATAGGTTTTAAAAAATTGATGTATTTAGTTGTAATTTTGCACTAAATAAGGAATAAGGGCGATATCCTTATCTCGCCCCTTTTCCTATTAATAAATATCGAAGTTTATCGCTCCCAACCCCAAACACGCTTTCTTTTCTCTTCTTCGTTAGGGTTTTCTTAGGGTTATATTCTCTCTTTTCCTTTCCCCAAATCAATTTCAAAACCTCAAATTTCTCTCTTTTCTCATCCAATCACACAACAAAAGCGAAACCAAATCGACGATGACGGGAAAAGCGAAGCCAAAGAAGCACACGGCAAAGGAGATCCAAGCCAAGGTGGACGCAGCGCTGACCAACCGCGGCGGAGGAAAAGCCGGTTTGCTTGATCGGATCGGTGTTGAGAAGGGAGGACACGCCAAGTGGGAGTGCCCTCACTGCAAAACAACGGTGCCTGATGTGAAGTCGATGCAGATTCATCACGATGCTCGTCACCCAAAGATCCCCTTCGAGGAAGATAAGCTCGTGAATCGTCATGCTACTGCGGCTGCTGTTCCGGAATCTTCCAAGCCTCGCCCTGGTGTTCGTGGTAGCCTCAAAAAGTGATCGTAATAATCATCATCATCAAATCGCAGCCTTTCATTCATGGCCTTTACTATATTTTCTATTTTGTACTTTTTTTTCTTCAAGTCGTCGTTTTTAGGGTGTTATTGAATAATTCGTGTCATGGGTATGTTTAGTTATTGTCTTTTTTTTAATATCAAGATGATGAATTTTAGGTATGAATGTTGTGTTTGAACTGTTGCGATGAAAGGTTTTTGATGGGAATCGGATTGAGTTGTGCTGTTATTATTAATTTGGCCCTTCTTAAGCCTTGAATATGTAACATATTGTTCCCTTGATGGCAGTTAATATGAACGTACTACTACTTACTTTATGTTGTTCTGTGTTATGATATATATATTGTTCTGTGTCTGATATGTTATGTTGTTCTGTGTTATGATAATTGATATACGTTCTTCTGTGTTCTGTTAATAATCTCGTTCAAGTTGTTGGTTTAGCTTATTTTGTGATCATTGGATTTGTTTTTATGATGAATATGTGGGATTGAGGTCTGGTCTGGTATAAATTCTGTCTGTGATGCCATTTATCAAAGTTAAGGGTTGATTATAGCTTATGGGTGGATTTGGATCATCTCAGGTCCTCTTCCTCAATGAATCCTTAGGAAAAAATTCCAATCCGTTAGTGGGCAGCGATGCTGCCCACTCATCTGGTAGATTAAACTTCATTAGAATCTACAATCTTAATATAATGGATTGGATTTAAAATTTGTTGATTTTCTTGGGAATGGGGGATGCAATTTTTGTCCTGCCTTTTACCTTTTAGTTCCAAAGGATTGGTGGATGTTTAGTAAATTGGTTCCAAAGGATTGGTGGATGTTTAGTAAATTGGTAGCACAATGTTTTGCCAGAATGATGGTAAATCTCTGCTATTAAGGCAAATCCGCCTTAATACCAAACATGTATGGCAGATGTGTATGTTTGTCATTTTGATTGTGTTGGGCTTTCTTTTTAGGCGGACTCTGAAGGCTGTACAATATAGGGAAATTTTACCCCATACCCCTACACTTATACCTAAACCTCTACATTAAATTTTTTTTGACCAAAATAACCTCGTATAAAAATTTATTTATTTTTTTCATTTATTTACCGAAAGACTTTTTGCAAGTCTTCCGGTTCATATTTTTTTATTTGTTCACCGGAAAACTTTTTGGAAGTCTTCCGATTCACATTTTTTTAGTTTGTTTACCGGAAGACTTTTTGGAAGTCTTCCGGTTCACATTTTTTTAGTTTGTTTACCGGAAGACTTTTTGGAAGTCTTCCGGTTCATATTTTTTTTGTTTGTTCACCGGAAGACTTTTTGGAAGTCTTCCGGTTCATGTTTATAAAGAACAATTTAGTGGATTTTTTAATATTATACTTAAAATATAAAAATTCTATAAATAAAAAATCATTTTTAGAATATTTTTTATTTGCTATAATTATTAGAATACTATGAGATTGAAATAATTTATTTTAAATGATCATAATAGTAGAATTTTCTCAAATATCTTATTAATTTTAAACATTAATAAATAAAATAAATTTAAATATAGGATATAAGTTTACATTATTCAATATATTTAATCAAATGAAAACATATGTGATAAATCAATAATGTATTTTAACTTAAAATGATCACAATAAGTTAACTTGCAAAATAATATAAGTAATAAATTAATAATGTATTTTATTTAAAATAATCACAATAATAGAACAAACAAATAATGTGTTTTATTTATAGGACTGATATAGTTTTATTGATTATTTAATTTTGAATACTACTATGAATATAATATTTAATCTATACTTTAGAACTCACATAATTATAAATATAAAACAATATTGTTTTATTACCCATATTTTTATTTAATTAAAAAAATTAAGAATATAAATTTATTATTTGTTTTTCATTTTTGTTTGATCTTTTTTTATTTATAACTTTTTTGCATGTTCTATACTGTGCTTACTTTAAATAAAATATATTATTTATTTATATCTTATATTTTTACTTTATTAAAAATATTAAATAAAGTGAAATTATTACGTATATTTTAATTTGGTTGATTTATTTAATTGAAAGTTCGATTTAGTTTTTGTTTTTTGCAAGTTATATTATTGTGATCATTTTAAATTAAAATACATTATTGATTTATAACATATGTTTTTATTTTATTAAATATATTGAATACGGTAAATTTGCAAGTTTGGTAAGATTTGTTTGCAAATTCTAGATATATAATACTAATGTGATAATATTATGATAATTATAGCAAATAGAAAATATTTCTAAATTTTGTTTTCTATTTATAGAATTTTTATATATTAAGCATAATAGATAAAAATTTATTAAAATGGTGTTTATATGAAATTAATAAATCTATTATGCTTAATATATAAAAATTCTATAAATAGAATTTATTTTTTTAGAAATATTTTTTATTTGCTATAATTATCATAATATTATCACATTAGTATTATATATTTAGAATTTGCAAACAAATCCTACTAAACTTGCAAATTTACCGTATTCAATATATTTAATCAAATGAAAACATATGTGATAAATCAATAATGTATTTTAATTTAAAATGATCACAATAATATAACTTGCAAAAAAAAAACTAAATCGAACTTTCAATAAAATAAATCAACCAAATTAAAATATAAGTAATAATTTCACTTTATTTAATATTTTTAATAAAATAAATAATATATTTTATTTAAAGTAAGCACAGTATGGAACATGCAAAAAAGTTATAAATAAAAAAAGATCAAACAAAGATGAAAAACAAATAATAAATTTATATTCTTAATTTTTTTAATTAAATAAAAATATGGGTAATAAAACAATATTGTTTTATATTTATAATTATGTGAGTTCTAAAGTATAGATTAAATATTATATTCATAGTAGTATTCAAAATTAAATAATTAATAAAACTATATCAGTCCTATAAATAAAACACATTATTTATTTGTTCTATTATTGTGATTATTTTAAATAAAATACATTATTAATTTATTACTTATATTATTTTGCAAGTTAACTTATTGTGATCATTTTAAGTTAAAATACATTATTGATTTATCACATATGTTTTCATTTGATTAAATATATTGAATAATGTAAACTTATATCCTATATTTAAATTTATTTTATTTATTAATGTTTAAGATTAATAAGATATTTGAGAAAATTCTACTATTATGATCATTTAAAATAAATTATTTTAATCTCATAGTATTCTAATAATTATAGCAAATAAAAAATATTTTAAAAATGATTTTCTATTTATAGAATTTTTATATTTTAAGTATAATATTCAAAAATTCACTAAATTGTTCTTTATATAAAAGTAATAAATCTTAAATATTAATTAAAAATTAAAAAAAAATATGAACCGGAAGACTTCCAAAAAGCCTTCCGGTGAACAAACGAAAAAAAATATGAACCGGAAGACTTCCAAAAAGTCTTCCGGTAAACAAACGAAAAAAATATGAATCGGAAGACTTCCAAAAAGTCTTCCGGTGAACAAATAAAAAAATATGAACCGAAAGACTTTCCGGTAAATAAATGAAAAAAAATAATAAATTTTTATACGAGGATATTTTGGTCCAAAAAATTTTAATGTAGGGGTATAAGTATAAGTGTAGGGGTATGAGATAAAGTTTCCACAATATAGGGTTTGAGGGAATTTTTCTTATTCAAAGATGCTTTTGTAACGACTAATATTTAAAGTTGCATTTAAAATCCAAGTTGTTGAGTTTCAAAACACCAGAATGACTTATATTCGTTGTTGCTTTTAAAATTCAATTAATCGATTTTAAACATCGGTTTTCAGCCTTTGTTCAATGGTTTTCACAATATGTGATATTGTGGATAATATTCCTAGGTGCTACACAATAGTGTTCTTAAATTAATTTGTGGGACATACGCCAACTCAACTTTAAGAACATTTGCAGCTTTTATCTTCAATCTTAAAAAAATAAGAATCTAAAGTGGACCCATCTAGGATCCATGTTATCTCTCCACATTGGGTGTTGACAAAAATAACTTTTATATTCTTACAAACTATGCATTGGTGTTCAAGCATGGCAAGAGTCATCCATGGTGGCAAAAATTGTAATGTGCTCCAATTCTATAAAATGGGTTTTATATGTTCTTAGACTTGAAGAACCAAGCATAGATGTTCTCATGTATGGGTCCAAAACTGTCGCAAAAAATTTAGGAAGTTATTCATCTTTTCACTCCAATAGCTTCAACAACCGACATGTCCGTCGTGTTTTGGGTTTGTCCCGTAAATGTTCGCAAAACAAGGGGTAGGGCGGACATATTTGAGCCTGACACACTAAAAGTGAGGACGGTGTTTTGGGTTTGTCCCGTAAATGTTCGCAAAACAAGGGGTAGGGCGGACATATTTGAGCCTGACACACTAAAAGTGAGGACGGGGCGGGACAGACCCCGAACATTGTATTTTTAAATCTAAATATACAAAAATTTATATAAATGTTGTAAATGTTTGTATCAGCAAAAACCTTGAAAAAAACGGGTGGGGAGGGACAAAAAATAATTAAAAAGTGTGAGCTGAAACCTTTGACCCGTCTTACACTAAAGCGAAGACAAAACAGACATACCCAATGGACCAGACTCGTTTTTTCACCCCTAGCTATGTTTTCAAGAAGACAATATTGTCTTGGGATGTGTCATCAAGAATCACGACCAGTAGGTCATTCTGGCCACAAGCAAGAAGGACAAAAATACTACTAATTTAAGCCTTGCTGAAACGTTGGCCATTAGATGGACATCCAACTGGGATATGAGTTTAAGCTAGATCGTATGCTGGTGCAATCAAATGCTTTTGTTGTTGATTGTATAAAGTCTGTTAATTTTTATGTTGTTTTAGAGCCCATAGTCTTAGTCAGCTCTATGTTATTAAATTATTTAAAGGAAGTTTCTATGATATACCTTAACACGAAGGAAGTTATATGTTGATGCTCACCATA